CACTCACACACTGTCTGGTCTAAAAACTAACCTGCTAGCTTCCAAATGCCGAAATGAATCTGTTCTCCTCCCGTGTCCAAACTTTGAGGCCCGGCCAGAAGCTCTCTGCAAGCCTAGTGTACTGAGAAACTGTTTTGATTGGTTGTTTGGGAAATGTGGTGTGTTTGAGGAAATGGGAAAAATGGGTTTTATGGTGCAGTGACGCACTTCCTGGTCACACAACATTCACTAATTGTGCACCAAATGCGTAAAAATGCGCACATTATGGCAAAAATTATTCGTCATTACGTCTGGTTTTATTTGGAAGTAAATAAAATTGCTGTTCAATCCAGTTCAAATGAACACTGAAAGCTGTCACTGTTTTTTTTACTGAAGCCCTGTCAATGCATCGCAGCTTTCGAGCTCAGAGGGTTAAAAGAAATAAAAAAAAATTCCTGTATCTGCATCGTGATCCAGAACCTCACCAAAATGTAAAGGTGTGTTACTTTGGCTAATCCCCACATGTGTTAAAAATGCCATGATAATCCCTCCACAGGTTCTTGAGTAATTTTGTCCACAGACAGAACGACAGACCTACGCGACTGAAAACATTACCTCGCCCCTTGGTAGAGGTAATAATGTGTACAAGTGATTTGATCCAGTCAGAAGGGCTTTAGGCCTATAAGGAAGGAGAGCCACCTTGTTCTAAATAAAAGTGGGTTTTTGTTGAGACTGATTGTAATAAATACATCATAAAAACGTTTAGATCAAAACAAACAGACAACATCTTTAGAATATTTCCAAGCATCTTAAATCTGCTGCATGTGCGGGGGTCACGCCGGTTTAACAGGTGGTCCTGTCTCAGGACAGACTGGCTTCAGAACAAATGTTCGCAGATAAAAGTCCAGAACACATCCTGAGTGGAGATGTTTTCAGTGTACATTGAGTTTATTCAAACTGGTATTTAGTGATGTAATCTGTTTACTAAGAGACAGTTTTAACATCAGCTCAGGTCAGAACAACCTTAAAGAAGCTGTCTGTCATTGATCTGCTTGGCAGCAAATAGATGATTTCTTGTACTGGATTACACTATTAACAATTATTAGGGATGTCCCGATACCACTTTTTCACTTACGACACGATACTGATATTACAAATTTGAGAATTGTCCGATACCGATATTGACCGATACCGATATTGATCCATTACCATAACAGTACAAGTCACACACTTTTACCTATTTTGTAATGTAAAATCTTAGAAAAGTCTTGATCAGGTCAAACAGTGAAAAAGAATAGGTATGAGAAAAACTGACCCATTTATTTTTAACCAATGGATCACATACATTTTACACTGAAGAACATTCTACAATTTAATAAAATAAATTATAATACCCTGAAAAACAAAACTTAATAAAAACAAAATGGTCTTTTAAAGTATAAAATAACAATTCAAAATCACTTTGGTTATTGTTTTACTACCTGTCAGCCTGGTGCTGCTTTATGGTGGGAATAACTGAAGGTGGCAAAACAAAACCCCACATTATTGTCTGTTCAATGTTAAGAGTCCACAGCTCCAATTTTACTGACTGTAACCAAAACAACGTGATCATTGCACTTAATCTTCACTCAAACAAGTGTGTAAACAGATTAAACATCACTCTAATAACAAGAGCAAAAAATAAATGTAAGAATTAGTCAGTTATTTAAATTGATAGCTACCTTTCTTACTGCTGCATTTTCTGAGCATCATGAGGAGATCAGCCTCTCGCTCCTGCAGGGAGCAGTTTTTATCACTGCTCTCGTCATGTCGCGCTCATATTCCAAAATAAAAGCTGCGCTCTCCTTTCTTCTGTCCATCAATCCCAGAGCTAATCCACAGGATGTCAAAACTGTAAGCGTGCTGTCCTCGCTTCTGCCAGCTTAGAACCACCGACCGGACCAGAGAGGAGGTTCAGAAACAGCGCGGCTGTGTGCGGTCACTGGAACGAGGCTGAACGAACCGAGCCGAACCGCAAAGCTGCTGCCAGGGTGGAGAGTAGTTGTCTCTCCGGTTTAAAACGTTCACGGTTCTGTTCCCCCTCYGAAAACTTGTGCGTGACAACTTTGCACTTAGCTGCAACTCTGTTTCTGATGAAAATAGAAAGTTCTGCCYACATTBTTGCTAACTTGTTAGCGCAGCATGTTGTTGTGATCACGTGAGCTCTGCATGCTGGATCCAAGCGCTGCTGGATAGAAACACAGGAGTGGAGTCAGTGAACTGCTGGAACGGACTGCTAATATCGGAGCGCTTATATCGGATATTTTTTATGCAGGCCGATAAAATCCGATACTCATTTTTTTGGCTGATATCGGACCGATATCAGATATCAATATCGGATCGAGACACCCCTAACAATTATTAATTAGGGCTGCACAATATATCAAAAAATTATCATCATCATGATAACAGCCTGTGCAATACTGTATACATATCACAAAACAACTGCATAAAAAGAAATAAATGGTTGACTCAAAAGTTTGTATTTATGAGTTTTGTCACTCAGGCAGAAGCTTAAAGTATTTCACCTTCATGTATTTGGTCAATTGAACAGATCTCTTCATATTTAAAAAAAAATCATCCTGGAATTGAATTTTTTTTCTTTTTTGCTCTAAACCCAGAGCAGAAAGACATCAACACAAACTGATGTATTTGTTCATTTATCTTAAGTCATATCATCATCACAACATGAAGCTTTGTTATTACAGGTTAGTTTCCTGATATCATGCAGTCCTGCTCTTATTTTTAGGCTTGTTTTTCAATAACTCCAGTTCAACAGAAAAGAGAAATTTTAAGATGTACTTCTGTTCTCGTCGAGCATTAAGCTCCTAAAATAATATGGTGATATGTTGACTTTGATAATACAGGTCCAATATACAAATACAACAACAGGTTAGTTTGTGCTTTGTCTGTATTTCATATCATCAGCATCTGCTTCAGGGTAGGGCAACATTAGAAACATATGAAATAGCTTTTTTTTTAAAATTATTTTGTGACATATACTGTGACATAATTAAATGAATTTTCAACAGATGACTTGAATAACACTTTAAATTCTGCTGCCATCTTGTTAACGATGACCCTGCAGCGTGTCCCAAGACTGGTTTATGTCTGTATTTGAGATTTATTCTTGTTCTCTTTTATTTCTTGCTTTTATTGCACTAGGATCTGAATACATGCCAAACAACTGAGTTCTATCATGTTTGACCCCTAACGTGATGCCTCTGTGTCTGTCTCAGGTTCAAGCTTTATTATTAGCATTCACGCTAACCAGATTTTACTTCCATTTCTTTCAGTTTCCTGAAAATTTGCTCATCTTCCTCTTTTTCATTAAGAGCTTTGTTGTCTTCCTCCACGGTTCAAGAGTTCACCAACAGCTCTTCTCAGAAAATTTTTATTGTCCTACAAGTTTCACCAAACAAAATGAAAGTTTTAGCTTTTTTGACACAACAATGCTCGCTTCCACAAAATTAGTTAATCCCTCGATAACAGGTGGATTTAATTATCCTCCTACATCTAAGGACCCGCTGTGTGACTTTTGTGCACACGTACCTCGTGGTGACGAGTTATTGTGCAGCTTTACTTCAGAATACCTGCACTGTGAAGAGTTTGTACCTGTAGTTTTTGTTCTGAGACTGAGGGATTTCACTCAGTCTCATATAGATGATTTGACAAGATGCCAGATGCAATAATGTTGATTATAATGTGCAGGGCTGTACCTGGTACCTGTAATGATTTGTGTGTATATGGTAAGTTGTTGATGGAAGGAATAACAGCTCAGATTTAGCAGATAAAAGCTGAATAAACAAATGAGAATTGATTTTTCTTTATGCAAAACTGAACGTCGTCAGAGTTATATCCTCTGTAAAATAACAACTACAAAGCGATGATTAAAGCATGAGGAGTGGAAGCAGCTGCTTCTATGTTTAGTTTCTGCTCCACACCTGGAGCTGGACATGTTTTCTCTCTCTGCTCTGTCAGCACTCTCATGCCTCATGGCAGAGTCCACTCAGCAGCTCCAGCAGCTTGTTCTTTCAGTTGGTGCAAGCTTTCAGTAATCATCTATCAGCACATTTTAAAATCACACCAAGAGGCACAAGCCATTTATCAGTGTGCATTGCCAATGCAATGCACACCATTGTGATTCGTTTCCCATCCAAGTCATCTCAACTTTGCCATGCTTCTCCTCCTGCATACTTTGTCCTAGAGCTGCCATTGTAATTTATATCTGTAAAGCCCCTGTGCCAAATGATGGCTATGCCTTTTGGTACCTGTACAACTTATAGTTTATGAAATATTAATGTTTAATGAATTATAATGGCAGTCAATGGAGCCTTGTATTGGTCCAATACTGTCCCATGCTATACTCAAGTTGGTACTGCACCATAGTTTAATATTTCAACTCAGGAGTTCAGTGTTTATAATACTAATATGATTGTATTTTGATGTTTTACTATAATATTGTCTTAATACTGCTCTGTTGTTGTAATATTATGCATTTTTGTGTCAATAATTGTATTGGCAATGTGGCCTCTTTCTGCACACATACAAACCAARCCCTGCCACCATCTTTGACCACAACTCCATTGGTCTAATGGTCTATGTCATGGACTTTCATCTGGTCGATCAGGGTTCAAAACCCAGCTAAAGCAACTTTAACAAAAAATCTCTTCAAATTTCATATTGTCACACAATTACCTTAATTACAAACACCTGCTGACGTGACCGGCACAAGCTGGTATAGAAAACACTTTTGAACTTGGTCAAAGTTCATTCTGCAAGTCCATTGCTGCAGGCAAAGCCGTGCTACATGGCAATGCACACTTGTTTTTACATCGTAAAAACCAATGTCTAGTTCAAGTTGTGTTCCTTTTGTTCTTTATTTTTATTTAGTTTCTGTGGTTTTTCATGGGTTTTATCTTTATTATAAATATCATTGAGTTGTAAGAGTGTGGGTGGAAGTTTTGTGTATTTTATTTATTTTTATTTTATCTTATTTTATTTTATTTGTTTATTCAAAAGGAAAGGAGTTTTCTAAAGCTATAGGAGATTTTCATTCAGAAAGAAAAATATTACGGTATGTAACAAGAAATCAATTAGGCATAAACATTACTAATAGTACTACTGCTACTACATCTACTACTACTACTACTACTACTACTAATAATAATAATAATAATAATAATAATAATAATAATAATAATAATGGAAGTTAAACTTAATTTAGTTTATTCTTGTCACTTTAGGATTCTGTTTGAAATCACATGTAAGAAGCTGAAAGATAAACTTGCTGTAAGTAAAAAATAAATGTTTTTACAAATAAATGAGTTATTCCAGCATAGTGTACCCCGCTCCTCACACATTGACTGATGGATGGATGGATGATGCATGAATGAAGAATGGATGGATGGATGGATGGATGGATGGATGGATGGATGGATGGATGGATGGATGGATGGATGGATGCTGGATGGATGGATAAATCTAGAGCATTTGTAAGAAGGCTGTTTTGTTTTTTTACAAAGTTGCTCACCTGTTTTTCATCTTTACTAGAGGGGTTTACCATTAAAAAATAATTATTTCTCATGTTTTATACATATTTTTTTTATTTAAAAGGGTAATATCATGTAAAATAAACTTTTTTGAGTTTTATATCATGTTATAATGTTAAACTCTCATAAAAAAC